ATCATCTAATAATATATCAATTAAAAAAAATTAATTTAATATAAATCATTCAAATTATGATTTTAAAAAACGATCGTTATGTTATTATTATATAATGATAACAGAATATCTCGTTATTGTTATTCGACATTATAAATACTTCGATATCATTTTTCATAAATAAAAATAAAAGGCATGTTTGTGATTGATAAAAGGCATCCAGAATATGAACTTTCAAATTAAATGCTTATTATCCAATAATATTCATTTTAATCTTTTATCTAGATACACAACATAACAAGCTTCATACTATTAAACATTAAAATAAATTAATATTTTTTTTCATCGCATTATCCAAATTTTATCGATTGATTAATATCTGATCAATCATCTAATAATATATCAATTAAAAAAATTAATTTAATATAAATCATTCAAATCATGATTTTAAAAAACGATCGTTATGTTATTATTATATAATGATAACAGAATATCTCGTTATTGTTATTCGACATTATAAATACTTCGATATCATTTTTCATAAATAAAAATAAAAGGCATGTTTGTGATTGATAAAAGGCATCCAGAATAATAACTTTCAAATTAAATGCTTATTATCCAATAATGTTTATTTTAATCTTTTATCTAGATACACAACATAACAAGCTTCATACTATTAAACATTAAAATAAATTAATATTAATTTTTTTTTCATCGCATTATCCAAATTTTATCGATTGATTAATATCTGATCAATCATCTAATAATATATCAATTAAAAAATTTTAATTTAATATAAATCATTCAAATCATGATTTTAAAAAACGACCGTTATGTTATCATATAATGATAACAGAATATCTCGTTATTGTTATTCGACATTATAAATACTTCGATATCATTTTTCATAAATAAAAATAAAAAACAACATTATCGTCATCTAATGCGGTTATATAATTGAGAGGAGAGAGGAACTTTATTTTGAAATGAAGGAGATCACGTGAAATATCTAATGTTAGGGATGATATGAAAAGAAACCAAACTGTACAAGCTCAATTAACCTTTCAAACTCAACAACTCTAAATTAGTTAGCTCAAGCATTGATCCGTTTGCTTTTGGTTGATGTGAGAACGACTCTTCCAGCTCACTCCAACTAAGAGAAAAATATCTTCAAAAGGTAAAGATATTTGCCACTGCTACGCCGTACCTTTCATCGCAGGGTTAGCACTGACTTCTGCTTGATTTCTTCAAAAGGTGCAATGGCATCAAGGACCTATTCTATGTAGATAACAGGGCAAGCCTCAAAAAAAAAAAAAAAAAAAATTATTAGGTTAGTATTTGTTGGGAAAATAGACTGCTTTAATGGAATAAATTATAAATTTATCCTTTTAGTTTGAAAAAATAAATTATATGGTATTTATTATTTTTTTAATTTTATGTTATTTTCTAATTTGTTTTTCTAAACTAGTCATGATTATAATTTTGATAGAAAAAAATCACAACATTAATAATAAAATGATAACTATTATTATGATTCATCATGACAATCATTTTAAAGATGGATATTTTGTAATGTTTTTATTGAAATTGTAATGTATTTTATTATTTGTTATGATATTTATCTATTATAAGTGTTATTAACTATTTTTTTTAATAAATTCAACTATTGTTTTATGATATTAAATTATTAAAGATATTATTACTTATTAGTATACTTAATTAGTAAAATTATTAAAAATATATGAACTAAAATAAACTTATTTGCTAAAGTATTCACAACATCAGTTGTCATGAACATTATTTTACTACCGTGATAAGTCTGTGATTCGTGATTGTGATTGCATGAACATTATTTTACTACCGTGATAAGCTGTGATTCGTGATTGTGATTGCGATCGTTTTTTTAACCACGACCGCTATTAAAACTATGATCCAAACAATCTTACGAAATTTGATTGATCTAGTAAAGAATTAACAATACTGATTCATACAAACATTATTACCATGAACATTAGTGTATAATACAAGAACACAATGTGAATTTAACTCTATAACTTTATCGCAATTTCTGTCCATTTTAGCTTTTCATAGCTACAAGAGGACTCTCTTACCCTGTAATAAACTGTTTGATAGCAACATGTTTACTTATAATCTAGATTCCAGACAACCTGAGGGTGAGGTAGGGACGATCTTTCATGCAACTGTACCCTTCCAATTGCAGCATGGAAAATCTTATCCGAGCGGAAACCTCAAAAAGCGTCACGTTGCCAATTATTGCAAAATCCATGGATCAAATTAGCTCCACTCTAGCTTCTAACAACACAGAATCCAAGACAAAAAAACCCTATTTTTTGGTTTGTGATCATAGTGGAACTTATGAACCATTGACGTTGAACAACATGAAGAAATGATTGCAGTTTTTCTAATACAACTAAATCCACCAATCTCTGTTTTACAATAGAGGCCAAGCAAAGAACTTTGTCATGCCCACTCTTACTAATGTCAAAACACACAAGCACACATAAAAATCAACACACACAAGCTTGTGCTACATCTAGCACGGGTGATGCCCTTCCTTAACGCAGTCCTCGCACAGCTGACTGAAGAAAAAAACAAAAAAGAAAAAAAAAAGAAAGAAAAAGAGAGAGAAGAAAAGGGGCAGGGGAAACAGGGATGCAACAACTTTCATCCTATGTACAGCTGTTCCTCATCCAACAAAAGAGACCCAATTCCTCAGCTTTCACGCGATCCTATCAAGAAACAGGAAATCAAGAAAGGAAAAAGGAAAACGGAAAAGAGAAGAGGTAGGGAGTGGGAACACAGAGTGGCTTCATTTATTAATTGGGTGACTAATCCACGCACAGAAAACAGAAGGATAGCTAAGTAAAAGAACAAGATAAACAACCAAATGCCTTCGCCCCAGTCCCCAATTCAACCAACCAAGAAGGAAAAATAAAAATTCACCAACATATCTTCATCATCCCACAATAGGAAGACTAATCGATCCAATTTATACAAACTATTTTCTGCTTCTTTTACCAGCCAACTCCCTTATTTCCTTAAATTAACCAATCTATCGACAAGTACAGCTAAAAGAGAGACCAAAAAAATTGGATAAACCCACCACTTGCAGCATTGCTAATAGCAACATTGCATTTTTTTCCCCTTTGGTGTTATTCATTGCCTTCCTCTCTTCTTTTGATAACCACCCACCAACCCAAAAGGGAAAAGGAAAAAAAAACTTGTGAAGTTCTCTGCATTTTGATGTAAACAGAGGGCTTAAATGGTAATTAATAATGAAGGAAAAATTTCACAAAAACTAGTTAGACACTCAATAATTTCAACTAACAGCACTTTCAAAGCAAGGCAGGCCCGAAACACCACTGCCCAATCCAACCCCTTAACACAGCAATCATATACATGTGGATCTGAAGACCAGGACACAAAAGAGAAAGAGCAGTCTAAGCACATTCGTAATTTTAAACTACTTAAATCATTTTGGCCATGCATAAAATCCCAGTTTTCAATCACTATAGAGAACAGTGTCAATATTTAGAATCATCTGTGTGGAAGAGACAAGTATTAGTGAAGCGTTATCATGAAACAGAACTCATCCTAACAGATGAATAGAAATTACCTGTAAAAAAAAAAACAAAAAACAAAATCTGCATTTCACCGAAAACTTTAGTCAGCCAATCTGCTCAAGCACGAAATCGTGCAGCTGTGACGCTATTCATCCCAGCAACTCTGGTTTCACTTGACCTCAAAAGTAGCTTCACTAACACAGACACACCTTTGGAAGGAGAAAAGAAAGGGGGAAAAAAAAATAAAAAGAACAAAGTTGGTAAAAGGAATAAGGCACCTGGTTTTTAAAACATATTGGCACAAGTTACACAAGTATTGACTTCAGACATATGCATCCAATTGAATTTATTAAAAACGGTCTCAAAATTCCATGACTGGTGGAAAGCTTAACAGATAGGCGTCCCACTTTACTGACAGCATACCTTCATTTACATCAGTAAATGTCAACATTCCTGTCATTGATCTCCGCAGCTCCAATGGAAACATCGTGTATAACCTGCATGTATTTGGGGTATGATGGCCCACCACACCATCAAACATAAATAAATGCTTAACCTATGATTAACCTAACTACCACATATACTATTAAGTTTTCACCTTGAACAATGATGAAAGGAGATGAAAACTGAAAATGGAAATAGCACCGAAATCACGAAGGGTGGAAATGAACACCAGAACTACAGTAAGGTTTCACTTTATCATTCGCCAGGCATGCTCATGATCCAAAAAACACTAATACAGCAAGTTAAAAATAGTTACATGCCGCTGCAGTTACGTAATAAAACACTAGCTTATTCCACTCCATCAAATGACCAAAGACCACATTAAGATTTAAAATTAATGAAGATATATGTTAAATTTAAAAGAAACAAGATGAAAGAAAATTGAAAATAGAAATAACTCCTCAAATAATCATTTTTATCAAAAAACAATATCCACATTTAGTAATAGAGGTAGTAATAGTCCAACATACATCAAGCAGATGACTGCAGAACACCGTTTGAAACATATAATCCTTATCATGGTCAGCTCAGGCCTTAAAGACTCTAGTTCCAATATGTTACAGGTGAACCTGCAAAAGATAAACAAACACAAAGTGTGCATATTTATGAGGAGCCAAAGCTGGCAGAAAAATCCAACAACCAAATAACATTTAAGAAATCTTCTATAAGAATCGCTCTTCATGCGAGTGAAGGCTGATTCTGCTGGATTTAAGTTCATGAATCTCTGCAAGCTTCTCAAATAGGAGCACAGCCAAAAACAGCCTTCTGTGAAATACAGCTTCTCTATTGAGCCTTCTAATGCTGTCCTCAAGAGTTAACTTTGGTTCACTAACACTCTTCAAATCCTGTCAACCAGGCAAAGGATAATACTAAGCTAATTAAAGACCAAAAACAACATTGAAAAAAGATTTTTTTTTTCTTTTTCTGCTCAGATTAGTTGTCATTACCATTCGAGTTCAGATGTGGATACTCAGCTTTCAGTAACAGCGGTTCTTCATTGCTCAAATTCGGGACGCATTTGCCCCCCATATCTTGATTTACATCGATTACCATATCTTCCACCAGTTCCTTTGAATCACAATCTTTACGTTTTAGATCCACCATTTCTTCATCAGTAAGAGAATTTTTTTCCTTGTTGGCACCTTCTGTTTTGTCAGATCTATGCTCGTGATGAGTCTCGTTTTCATCTCTTCTAATCTCTTTCTCATCATTTGAGTGGCGCTTGCGTTCCACAGATTTTGATCTAGAGCGCCTCCTGCGTTTTGATTTATTTTCCTCTGAACTTCTTGGAGTTCTGCAATGTTTATCTTCAGCCGATGGTGACCTTCGTCTATTGCGGTGCTTAGACTTGTCATCTTTATTTTCATCTATCTTGTGTCTGGAACGCCGCTTGCCTTCTGGAGATATTGACCTGGAGTGCCGTCTGTGCTTTGACTTGCTCTCATCCCTACCTCTTGGGGATGACCTACTGCTTCTGTGATGCTTTCCCTCTGCAGATACTGACCTAGACCGCCCTCTGTCTCGATGTTTAGCTTTTTTATCTCTGCTTTCATTTCCTCTCTCCTTGTAACGGTGCCTATCATCAACAGACTTTGACCTGGACCTCCTGTCACGGTGCTTTTGCCTCCCATTCCCAGTTTTATCCACTTTCTCATTAGAATGGCGTTTACCTTCCACAGATTTTGACCTGGACCGGCTTCTGTGTTTTGATTCATCTTCATCTGAACTTCTTGGGGAGGGCCTCCTTCCATGGTGTTTATGCTCCACAGATAATGACCTTGATCTCCTCTCGTGTTGCTTTGACATTTTATCTCGGATTTCATCCCCTCTGTCATTGGACTCTTCCACAGATTTGGACCTAGAGCGTGAGCGCATTCTGTATCTGAGTTTGCTATCTGTGTTATTCCTTGGGGATGGCCGACTCCCTCCGTGACGCCTAGGTGATCTTGAACCACTGTCTGATGCTTTTCTTGATCTATGAGCTGAACTTTCTTGGCGACGTTTTGGTGAGCCTGAATCAGCTCTGTGGGATTTTCTTGTTCGAGGGCTTGCACTCCTGCTTGTATTTCTCCTTGAAACAGGTGAATGACGCCCGCGTGATCTATCCAAATCCCGCCTTCTAGTTCTATCACCGTCACCTCTACCATCTCTATATGATCGCTTTTCATAGTTATACCTTGAGTGATAGCGAAATCTCATGGGGGACCTAGATCTACGGTCTCTATTGTGACGAGATGGCGGTGAGTAAGAAGGTGACCTCCACCTTCTTCGGTAATTAATTGGTGATCTCGACTTGGATCTGGACCTTGCTCGAGGTGGGGATGGTGACCTGCAAGAGGCAGTAAACTCAACAGTACAGAAAAAATCACAGAATATATCCATCAAGTTTTAATTAGAGTACCTAGTTTGTTATAATAATTGAAAACAATCATCAAACGATTCTCAAAATTGCATGCTTTAGTAAAAGAAGATGCAAAGGTTTGCATGCATTTAAATAACTATAGCAATAGCAATTGATAAGCCACAAGTTGGTCTCTTCACCAACTCAGGCAACTCTGTCCTTACAAAACATATCATGAAGGCTAATTGGATGTGGGAGGGGAGAAAGGAAAAAAGCCATGGTTGTAAAAGATCATACCAAGAAGACTTTGTGCTCCTTTTTTGTACCATGTCTCTCAAATAAAAAAGAGAAAGGGGAGGCAGGACTCTAGTAAATAAAGAAACAACAGGTAATGTAAACCGGGATCATACAGAAGACTCATCACAACAGTATTTATGTAATTCAAAATCTTAATGTAAGGCAAAGCAAAGACTATTAATATAAATTATCATCAGTGATCTATTTTAAAGAAAAGAGACAAGGTGATGTACTTGGATTCTGCTTTTGTTTCCTCTGCTCCAATGTCATGCCCATCAGCTTTTAACTTCTTACTTATTTCTGCAGCTCTAGCTGCAGCTAACTCTGTTGCAGACTTCATTGTTGCAGCTTTGTTAGCTGCCTGCTGTGCAGTCATAGTTTGCTGCATGATCAAAGCCTGTTGAAATTGCATCTGTTGCATGGCAACAGCTTGCTGCATCATCATCGGCAGAGAAGAAGAAGCGAGTGAAGAATTCAAAAGAGGTTTCTGAGGAAGAGATTTAGCCATCTCAACATTCAAAGGCCGACCCCCAACATCCATATTGTTCAAGGCTAAGGCAGCAGTTGCTTCTTCAGGCTTCGAGTATTCTATGTACGCAGAGTGTTTTGAATCAGCAATGGCACACTCAATAACTGTGCCACAAAAGCTAAACAGTTGTTTCAGCTGTTCCACTGTCAGAAGCGGGCTGAGATTGCTAACATGGAGTGTTTTCTTCAGTGCATCCTCCTTCCGAGCTGTATCAGGTGAGCCTGGCAAGAGGATAAATGCTAAGCAGTAAAAACTTTGGACAGAAATCAAAGAAAAATTACTTAAACCAAAGCTCAGCACAAGTAAAATCAATAGCTTCAGGCAATCGGGAAAACAGGATCCATACAAGCTATCAGATACATGCGTGAGCTGCTGATAAGAAAAAGAATACCAGATGAATCTTTGGCTGACTGACCATGCGCTTGCACCTGAGCAGCATGAGCTTGAAGGGCTTTGGCAGCAACAATAGCCTGAGCAGCAGCCATTGCAGCTGCAGAAGGCGCCATAGGCACCTGACTAAGAGTCCCCATTGTGGTTGTTGGGGCTAACAAAGTCATCAGTAAACTTTGTGGAGGGTGGCTCAACTTGCAATCGGCTTTAGCACACCGACCATAGAGATACTCTCGACAAACTTCCCCAAGAGATGATCCAACTCCAGGCAAAATAGCAGCACCTGAAGCACTGGAACCAATGCCTGGAGTCATTCCTAGTAAGGCAGGAAACGCCCCTGAAACATTGGCTGAGTAATTTGGCATGTTAGGCATGGTCTGGTTCACTAGGTTTGGAAACGTGGTTGTAGGAGCCATGCCCAGCAAACCTCCAGTTGAAGTGCCTGCATTGCATGACAACAATTCAATACCGAAAAATGTTAGAGAATAAAAGGAAGACTAAATATACAAAGAACAAGTCAGGGACAATTCAAGGATAAATTGGATGGTGAGATCACATGGTGGATTAAAGGGAAAGACAGACAAACTTTTTTCCTTAATTTCAAAATTATTACAAACATTTAACCAGGACAGTCATCCTCCGTTATGTTTTCTTACTTTCACAAACCACAAAAGAGAATCTCCCCATGATTCCTTCTTATTTTCTTCTTCACTTCCTGGCAAAACAAACAATCTCCCCATAATTCTTTCTTATTTTATTCTTCAATTCCAGGGAAAACAAATTGCATATGTTCATATTTATACATAAGCCAAAAAAAGACATGCAACAAACCATTACGTTCACGTGAAAGACTTCAGGGGCACATTCATAATAGAACAACAGTCAAAATTTTCAAAAGAATCAAGACAGTATTGCTCCAATTTTATCCAACCCCCCCCCCCCCAAAAAAAAAAAAAAAAAACAGAGACAGAATCGAACATACTTCAAAATTTGCGAAAATGAGCAATCAGACCAAACAAAACCAGGAATAGCGCAGAGCTGCCAGAAAATTAGTGTTGAAAACATTGAAAATAGCTATAAACAACTCATTGCTGCAAACAACATTACCTAGCACGGTATAGCCAACGTAAAAAACACAAAATTCCATAACCATAAATATATATACCTGCACTGAAGAACACAGGGAAAGGACTCCCCATGATAGCTTTCCCATTGCACTCAATAGTAACCATATAATTCCCTCTTTTCGGCACCACATACGTAACAGTATACGTCCCATCTCCCATATCCTTCACAATCCCTTCCTGCTCCGTTCCCCCAACTCCCACTCCTGGTGAAACCCTAACCTTAATCACCGCACCTCCATTCGGAACTTTCCTCCCATCCGCATCCTTAGTAACGACCGCAAACGTAGCAGGTGCACAAGCGGTCCCACCGGCAATGCCCGCACCTGCCGCCGTGCACTTCCCGGGGTCAACTGGTCCCACAGGCTTATTACCCAAATCCTCCTCTGCATCTTCTTCCTCAGATTCCGAATCCGCGGGTTTTTCAGCCTTGTCTGATAAAGCTTTGAATGTCGCGTCGAATGCAGCTTTCGCTGCCGCAGTTTTTTCTGCCTCGCTTTTTATTTTTGCTTCCTCTGCTTGCTTCATCCATATTGGTTTAGTAGCTGAATTGTTGGTGGTGGTGATTGCAGCGGCGGTGGCAGTGGTGGCATTGTTTCGATCTGTCATAGTAAAACCCTAATTTTGCCTGGAGGCGACAGTTTTGGGTTTTTTGGGGCCGATGGGTGATAGCGTTTATGAAAGCAAAGGGGAAAAGGCAGTTATTCGAGAGAGAATATTTGAATAGTGAAAAAATGAAAAAACAATTGCTATGGGCACAACCATTGTGTCTATTGACACATTTTTTATTTTTTTTTCAAGACTTTGAAATTGCCTCGAACTTCATCACCGTATTTAATTTGGTAAACTACAAAACCTATTATGAAATTACAATATCGTAAAAAAAAAAAAAAAAAAAGGAAGAGACGACAAGAGCTCCTTTCATCTTTCATAAAATATTACATTAACTCCATTTTTATTACTAAACTGTAATTGATTATTAATTTGAGTTAATAGTCTAACATGGTTTTATAAAATAGTTAAATAAACGTGGTGCTTTTTTATTATATTGAAAATATTATTACAATATCTTTATTACATATATAATTCGTAACAAATCTTGTATTATTAAATTTGATACGGAACATCCTATTTATTAACTTATTTTTGTCAAATTGATTATTTTTTTTAATTGACTAACGTCGAGTTAATAAAGTGTCGACATTTGTCAACTTAAAGGTAAAAATATAGTTTTCTTTTAAAAAGTAAGTTTTTTTATTTTTTAAGTTAAAATAATTAATAATCATTAAAATTTTAAAAAAAATCTTAAGAAAATTTTACATTAATAAATTTTTAATGATTTTATAATAATAATTAACAAAAGAAAATTTAAATATTTATAAAGAATTTTTTTCAATTTTAATTTTAATAATAATTATTAATAAATAAAATTTTAAAAATATACATAAATGAGGAGATTTTTCATTTTTTTTCAATTTTATAATAATTATTAATAAATAAAATTTAAAAAAAATAAAGAAATTTTTAATGATTATTAATTATTTAAAAAAAATTATATTGTTACTTTTTTCATTGTTTAGAGAGAAATTTTCTTTAGATTTTTTTAAATGTTATTAATAATTATTATAAAATCATTAAAATTTGAAAAAATAATTTCTTTAGATGTTATTTTAAAATTTCTTAAAAGTATAGGTACTTGATTAAAATAATTAGAAAATTTAAGTGACCACAATGAAACTTAGGAAAGCCTATATTAAAGGCTTGGTTGTGGAAATTAAAAGTTTAGAAACTAAAATGAAAGGACCCAATAGAATTAATTAATAAAATTTAGTGACTAAAATATAAAATTTTAGTAATTTGAAGGACCAACTAAGTCAATTCGATTGATGATATCCAATCGGAATTAAGCAACAAAAATAGCTTAAAAGATGGCCCAATATTCGGCCATATAAAGAAAATAAGGAGAGAAAAAACTAAGGAAAAATCAAAGAAAGAAAATTAGAGAAAATTCTAGAGAAATCAATTAGTGGAGGAATTGAAGAGATGAAACCAAATGTCCTCCCACTTGGCAAGATCTTGGGTGATTTTCCTTCTATACATTCGATCAAACAAAGGAGAGGAGAAGGATGCTAGACAACCAAAAATTCAAGGAAGAATAAGGGAAAATCAAGCAAAATCAAAGAGAGTTAAGCCAAACACCACTCAAAAACACTAAATTACCCGTTAACATATCCTAAAATAGCTTAGAAGAGTAAAATAAATGAGGAGAAAAAGTTAGGTTCTTGGCTGAAACTTTGGAGTAAGGAAGAATGAGGAATTTTCAAGCTTCCAAGGTAGAAATTGTTCCGAGTATCAATCAAGATAAGTATAGTTTCAACTATACCACAAGAATTATGTGTTTTTTATGTTGGATGGATGATGTTTGAAGCTTTTGAAAGTTGTAAGTTTGAAGTTAAATCGTTTGGGTTATATTGAACTTGATTGATTTTGATTAATTATCGGTGCAACATTCCCTTTGATAGATTAATTAATATGTTTAGGTGCTTAATTGTGGTTTAATTGAAAGAATGAGGTTGATGGCTTAAGGTTGAAAGTTTCGACCAAATATGTGACATAGGGGAATTCAATTATTTTCGTGTAAATGTATTAAGTGTTCTTAAGTTTGATTAAATGTATTTAATTGAAAATCTGCTAGTGATTTACTTAATTAGATTATTCGACCATAACTAGAAATTAGGAGTAATTAGATTAATTTATGTAATTATGTTAATTATATGTTTATATGATGAAATTAAATATAATTAAATGTGTTTGAATGTATTTAATTGAAGGATTGAAGATTGATTGTTGGGTTTGCATGATTCGGCCAAACCTCAAGTTAGAATTGGTTGAATTAATTTGATGATTGATGGTATTTAATTGCGCAAATGGATGAAAACAAGTATTTAGTTGCAAAACTCTCCTTGGTCATATGGAACGAATATATCAAGCAAGATGGATAATTAGGGTTAGTTGCCTAATTCCATGGAAATTATGGTGAATTAGTGCTTGTTCGGTTGTTTAAAGATGAATATATGTTATTGTTGCTTGATTTGTGCTTGGTTACACGATATGGATTTTCCTTGAAGTGTTTCGGCCAAATTTTATTTTTCATGGTTTATGGTACTTGTTTGATGTAACGATAAATTCAAGCATGCAATGAATTAGTAAGCATGTACATCTTATTGCTAATGCATGCATGGTTATGAAAAAAGAATTAAGGCAATGCATCATTTTGCATGTCATGCATGAACTACACTTATTGAACATTCAACTCATCACTTAATTATATGATGTAGGAAAGCAAGGTACTAAAAGCCGACAAGCTTTGAAGTAAAAGTTGTTGTCGAAAAATGCCTTGTTTGCTAGAGAGTATACTTTGAAGGTAAGTTTGGCATAGAAGACCTAAACCTATCTTTTCTTTTCTTTTTATAGACATTTTTGAGTGTTTTAGGTTTAATCGTACGGGTATGTAAAGTTAAAGGCACTTGTTGAACATCTATAATAAATAGATAAATGAGTATGAAAATAGCAAGTAAGTGACTTTCATGTTTTTAAATTATGGTGATGGGTTAGTATATGTATAAAAGATCAGTCAAATAGTACCAAGAAATAATACATGAAGTGGTTTCATGGTTAAAATGGTTTAAAGGAAACTTAATTACTTCAATGAATTCAATGATTAAATAAGTTAAATGGTTTTCAATAAAGTATAAGACCCGACAATTAATGAATTTAATTAGCATAGAATAATCAAATTTAATTGGAAAGAAATAACTGAATTTAATCAATATCGAATAATTGGACTTTAATTGGCATGGAACAATTAATTGAATTGATGTTTTCTAATTTAAAATAGCCTCCAATAGGCTTGATACATTATTTAGTCGTCAATGGGCTAAATTAATGTTTAATTGAATTGTCCAATTAAATTTTTACTTCTAAGGGTTTTTTATTAAATTGGAAATATTCATCACCTAAAAACACAGTTAATTATTAAATCGAATACATGTTCTAGATGGTGGCTAATCAAATAAGCCTAATTGATTATTTTCAAGTAATTCAAATTTTAGGAAAAAAATGAGAGTTTTATTTAATTGGTTCGTTAGATTATTAAAGACTAAATTGATTAATTCACAACAATGACTATCAATCTGAATCTTATAAAATTAATTGAAGAACATTAAAGAGGCGAGCTTGCTTAATTTTTATCTAAGATGTTATTTTAAAATATTTAAATTGAATTTTACAAATATGAATATTTAGGCATATTTATGGGTAAATATTTTCACATATTTTATTGAAAGAATTGTTATTAAATGTTAAGTCTTAATGAATATTCCTATTAAATGAATTTAATTTGGAAAAATTTTATACTTAGTTTTAAATAAACGATGAACCTAATTATTTTAATTAAATAAGGTTTCGTAAAAAAATTTAATAAATTAGACGAGTAAAAGAACACAAGGCTTGATGTCTTGCGTTTATCATACTCGAAATGTGAGGTATCGTCGGTAATATTTTCAACCTATTTAGGTTATAGGTCGGGAATGTTATATAGTACTCCAAGCCCAAGTGCTCGGGCTGGTGCTCCACGCTTAGGCTTGGTGTTCTCTTTAGGATTAAAAGCGGGTGTGGTCCTTTAGGCCCGATTGCATAGGCTTTCTCTTTGGTTTTTTTTTTCTTTAGTTTTTTTTAATTAAGAATTTTTAGGCAAACTTTATGGAATATCGAGTGTTATTATTTGTGTTTTTCATGCGAGTGTGACAAAAATAAAAAGTCTATAATATCATTTTTATATTTTCAAATTAACATATATTTTAGATTATATTACTTTTATTATGTAAAATTTATTCTTTGAATTTATCTTTTTTTTTAATGAAAAATCCTCATCTAATTAATATTTTTTGATAAAATTTTATTTATTGATAAATATCATTTATTTTTTTCCATATTTGAATTCTAGAATAAAATTTTAAAACAAAATTGTTTTCTCTCTCTCTTTTTTTTTATAAATAAATTGATATAATATATATCATGTATTCTTAGAATTTTTAAATGGTAGTTACTTATATATAAATATATAATTATTTTAATCTAAAAAGTTAAAAGTATATTCTAAATAATTTGGCTTAGTCCTCTAATTATGATCAAGACTTATAAAAATAAAATTATTGAATCATCGATTTAATTAAAAATTTATTATACGTCTTTGCACATAACACTAACGATTTGGTATAAATATTTTTTTAGAACATTATAGAATCAATTTATTTAAAATAAAATAATTAAAATATTTTTTAAAAATACCATCCAACTATTCAAATACATTTTTTATGCTAACATTGTTGTTTAAATATATATATGCATATGTTTCCAAAAAATAATAATATTATCAACATCAAATAAGAGTAAAAATTTTATTTTATACGATTTAATATTTATATGAGTTTATACATTAATTGTAACTTTATTTTTTGAATACATTCTTTAAAAAAATATTTTTAAAAAATATTTTTTTAATTATTGATTAATATTTTAATTGAAATTATTACAACTTTTTTTTCCGA